CCGCAAACTGCATATTTCTATCTATTGCGGTTTTTACATAAATAAAGATGCAAGTAAAAAAAAAAACACCCTGTATATATTAATTTGAAACTGTTTTTCTTTGTGAAATTCTTTGTGCTAATTTGAGAGAACGGCTGGGCTTAGAAACTTGGTAGGGGTCTCTATAGAAATTTCTTGGTCTGTAGATGAGCCATCAAAAGAGAAACGAGGTAAATTCCCTTGGGGCCCTGCCCCAGAGGCCTTTAAAGTCCCCTCAGCAGATTTGTTTACATTATGACCATATGTATAATTTTACACTACTTTTAAATGAAACAGCTGTTAATATTTAAATTGTGATTTACTGAATTTGCAATGGTTTTTCTGATTTTAAAATCGATTTTCTTCTGCATCGTGTCATGTTTTGCAATATAATGTTCTGTTGCCAAATCAGTAGAAAATCCTAATATCACAGTAACTCTTAAAATTATTTCTTATGGAGTTAATTTATGTCTATTGTCAGGGTCAGATTCTGCCTTTTTTACCACTTCTTGGAGATTGTACGTAGGCGTGTTGCACGTAGATGATATTCTTTGGCGTATTGCATCTGTAGACGATACTTGGGTTGGTGTAATTATTACAATGGAAAAAAGCGAGAAATCCTGGACAATTTGATATAGGCCTACTAAAAATAAAACTGAATTGACACTGTGCTATATTTCTTGAACAATCATTGAAAGAGCCAACTTGCAAACAATGGAAACATAAGAAAGTCATAGAACACAACTAAGTAGAAGAAATAGAAATAATGTTTTTTTTATATTTATAATGGTTATTGTAGAGAGCCTAATGCGGCTATGAGTGGGAAACATTTGTAGAAAACTCTAAAAAACATGATCAGCTTTTGAAAAAAGATAAGATATTTACAAACAATTTTGATTATATCTAACTGTTGTGTACATCGTTAGTATTTCCATAATCTTTGAGTCGACTTTTATTAAGTCATCCGAAATTTGACCGTTATTCGTTTTAAAATACACCTGTAATGCTTCGCAATTGCTCGAATTCGAGCAACAGGTACACTAGTTCCCTTTAAATATGAATACTCATAAGGATAACATTACAGAGCCACTGGGGCGGAGCCCGAAAGTATTTTTAAGATAAGAATATGCCTATATGTTAATCGGGAATGTAAGCTATCATATCATGCCAAATTTCAGCCCAATCCGTCCAGTGGTTTATGCGTGATTGAACTTCAAACACACAAACTTTCACATTTATAATATTAGTAAGATAAGATAAAATAAGAATGAAATACAATAGGTACAACAATGAACTAATGCAAACTCATATACAACTGTAATAAATTGAATCGTCAAACATTTGTGAAAACTCCTGAAAAATGCTACAATAGTTGGGGTTACACGGCTGTGCTAACTATATCTCAAATCCATCCATCATTGGAGATTTCCATGACTTTTTTGCATATTTCCATGACTTTCAATGACCAGAATTTTTTCCCATGATTTTTTATGACTATCCCTGACTTCCCAGAATGTGGACACCCTGGTTTTTTTCAACATATGATTTTCTATCTTAAGTTGTGATTCTATCATAATTAATATGATAAAGTGGATCTAGATTACAATAAATCAAACATTCGGCTTGACTTGGTGTATGTAACACAGCAGAAATCAGTAATTAGACCTACACAGCACACACTTGTTAGTGCCTAAATTGAACAATGTTAATTTCTATCTAAAACTGACTACAACTTCATAATGGGAATAAATGACAAATTCTATCAGTATTCAAAGGTAAAAGTTCATGCCCACTCATCAGTTAAGTAAACAAGAAATTACATATTGGTTCCAAATATTTACATGAGTCTAATTCATCCTGATTCCTTTCATATTGGTCATTGTACTATTTAAATGCAGTAGCTTACATTGTCAAGTATATATATCTTAGGATTATAAATTATAACTCCATACATGGGCTTCACAAAAGAAACATCTTCAGGACATAAGGCACAGAGGGTGAATCCTATCTTGTTCTGGGGTAAGAACCAATTTTAATATGGTTTGTAAGATATTTTGGGCAGTCCAAAGCTGGAATCATTCCTAAACAGTGACTTATTTAATAACTTTTAAGAATAATCTGTTAGGTATTTCCTTATTTTACTAAGCTTTCAGATTTCTTTTATAAAACAACATGAAAATAACAACTCGAAATTACACCATACCAAAAAAGGAAATTTTGCACTAATCTTTCCCAAACTAGATCCGTATCTTTCTCACTATTGCTCCGATCAGGTCTCTAGCAAAGGACAACATTTTGGAGACTCCAGTTACCTACTGTCGGGTCAAAAAGTATAGATACTCGAGTTTGAGCTTTTATTGCAACGTAACCAGTAGACGTAGAAAAATACAAGTTACATCATAATTTTAAGAATTTATTTCTGCGTTTAGGTGTGTTGGTTTCAAATTTTTTATTCAGTTTCAACTCAGCCTTTCAGCGGGTCGAATGAAAAAAGTACAGGTTTTTCGGCGCTTTACCAACAACGGGCGACTTTAACATTTTATAACAAACAAACTACTTATCTAATCGTCATGAAACTTTTATAGCTTTTAGAACGTATAGTTATAAAGCATATTTATAAGTTTTAGAATTTTTCGTCAATAAATAAAAATTCTGTTATGGTTTTTGTAAAGGCATTTTATTTCAGGGACGGAACAAGCTAGAAACTCCGAAAGCTTAAAATAAAGCTCTTAAAAAGACACAAATGATAAGTTGAGTTGCACATTAGCTAAGTGGTCTTAATAATTAAAATGGACGTATAATCAAAGCTGTTCTGAAACGTAATAGTTTTTTTTTTTTTTGTAGTTAGCTGTAGAAGTTATGGAGTGGTTGATACTGTAGGCTCTTGACCCTATCACTTGAAAGAGGTTCAACTAGGTGGATCATGTAAAGATACTTAGACAAATCAGCCAATAATATGGCAAAGATGTGGGAGGTCAGAAGAAGAAAACAGGAGACAGAAGTAGAAGCATGATGTGGATATACTGGGTGTCCAATAATACTCCCCCTTGGTTAATTTTTGAGCGGCTGCATATGTTCAAATGAGCTTTGATAATCGTTACTCGGGTAATGTAAAGTAATTTTTAATGATATTTTAAAATTCACCCCCCACCCTCAAAATAGGGGTTGCTGGAGGTAACTTAACATGGTAACTCCTATTAAGTAGCACATAATTTTGAAGAGCTTTTAAAAAGGAAATTAACGCTGCTGAGTATTATGGGACACCCAGTATAAACTGGAACTAAGAACTTTGGGAAAAATAAACTGGAAACATATCCATCAACAGAGTGAACTATCAAACAAGGCCTTCAGAGCGGTGAGAGAAGAAAAAAAGTGCAGATACTTTAGAAATAAGAAATTTGAAGTATAGAATCTATCTAGTATTAGTAGATCATGTATCATCGAGTATTTTATGTATCTGTAGTATTTTGTATCTCTGTAATTAATATTAATCCCATTTGGTGAAGTAGCATCTAAGAAAACTGATGCCACTTTACATTGTTACGTCTGGTTATCAGACAGACCACTCTGAGGAATGTTTTGTACAGTTTATTTCCTCATGTAGACAAAAGACGGAATGGTTCCCTCGAGGGCCGTACCCCCCCACTCCCCAGACAGGATGAAAGATGGGACTTGGTCCCATTTCTGCTTGGTTTATTAAGCCCCAAGTAGTTGATCATTGATTGACATAAACAAAGATATGTATTACATTTTTTTTAAGTAACACTGTAATGTGTTGGTCACTATCTTGCTTTTACTTTTGTTTATCAAAGAAAAAACAATAGTGAAATTTAAAGCCATATTAAAAAAAATTATATTATAGTTTTTTAAGTTTTTTATATAAAAGGGTTTACAGTTGGCAGGTATCCATTTTAGACCACACATATTCACAATAAAAAAACAAAAAACAAATGAGAGTTTTAGCTTCAAACCAAGGCTCAAACAAAAGATTTGAATAATAGTTATTACTGTTTTCAAGTGGAGTTTTTAATGATATTGGGATTCTTCTGTGCAATAATCTTGCTCTAATATTGTGATCTGCATTATAAATACAGTAAAGTACGACGGTAAAACGAAAGAACTATACCAAGGATGAACTGAGGTGTGAATTAAACAACAACAAAACCCACTTTTATTAATATATTTTATAATAAAAAACATAATGTTAGGTGACAACAAATTACTTTGTGAAAAGCATACTAGGGGAACAGACAGTCATAATCCTAACAAATAACGGGGTAAAATGAAAATGTAATATACAAAAAGCAAACTAATAAAATACTAAAAGTGATTATAGATTGATATTGTAACATTATATACACGTGTCAAGCTTTTATATATTAATAAAATATAACAATGCGTACATTCATATAACTAGACATTTTTCGATACACAATTATACATGGTACATTTATCTGTTATCAATTATGATTGTTAGATTTGTACAAGACATAGGTTATAGTCGTAAGATAGACTCTTCTAATCAATAGATGAATTAATTTGTTTAGTGGAATGGCACAATTCTTTCTAAATACCGGAACAATGAAAATATAGATCCTGTATCGCATAAAATTGTGAATAGTAAATTAATCTTTATTATCATTATTTAAAACTTCATAAAGTATTCTATATATTCAGGAGATCAATTACTTGAAGTTTCAAAAATCGTGTAACATTGCCTTGGTGATACAGTAAACAGAATACAGTATCAAACCTAAATACTTTTGTTACATTAGTTTCCAGACACAATTAATAACCTACAGATGAACAAGAAATCAACATTATTGCACAATCTTGATACCACGATTGTAAGCCTATTTAAAATTTTGTGCCACAGTATTGAAGATGAAAAATAGAACAGAAGCGACATAATGACTCAACGTTGATATTGACAATTGCACTTATGAACCTGCTTTACAAGTGTGTGGTGCAAGAAATAAGTCTACTGGAAAAACACATTTATTTAAACATTTTGACAATGTTTCCAAACAAACAAACCACATAAATAATATGGTGGTTGAAACAAACTACACATAACTTAACACCTTTAACTCATCACAATGTAAGTACATTATAGCCTTACTACAAGTCTTAACTTGAAAGTTTTCCTTCATCTTTGGGTTACTCATTACTAATAAATTTAATATACGCAAACCAGGCTTGTCTTTAATAACTTACTTTATGACTAATACTAATAAATAATTGAAATAAGAAGGCAAAACTTAAATAAAGCCTACGACAATCGACAAGTTTATCAGATGTAAAATCAAAATGTTTTATAGCCAGTCTATACATAACTTACATCAACCATATAGAGAAAGCATTCAGACCAAAAGTGGTCTAGTTAGCTGGGTTGGAACCATTTCACTCCTTCTCCTGGAAAATACAAACTATGACACATGGGGTGAACTAATCAAAACTAGAATTAAGTCAGTGGGAATGCCCAAAAACAAGTTGGGCCTAATGTAAAAAATTTGCTCTAGTTGAAACAGAATTTTTAATGAAATTATGATTTCATTCAATGTTTATAAGTTGAATAGATTATAGATTTCTTTTGATGTAGGCCAAATTATCTAAATTATTACAGCAACGTCTTGCAAATTTGCTACCAAATAGCTTGGCAGTCCAGATTTTCCAGTGAACCCGAAAAAGAAAGATCTTCATAAAGATCTTCACTGACCGTAGGTAACCATTCAATTGGCTAATGATTTTATTCATTCACACTCAAATATTCAAAAGACTATAAACATCACTATTAGAGAAGACTTAAATAAATGAGTGATAAGGGAATTACTCTTCAGTTAGGTTAGATAGGTTCAGGATCATATGTCAACAATCTAGAAACCTTCTACACTCACCTGAGGTAGTTAGTATCTTGAGGAGGGCTGGCGCGGTTGGTTGAACTGACTTTGCACAGCAGAACTGACTATGTTACCAGCAGCGTCACGCACATGCTGGTTACGCATGATCTCCGAAGTGAACTCCTGCTGTGCCTTGGCAAAACTGGCTCCAGTAGAGCGGTAGATACGGTGTACCTGTGGATATAGTAGAGCTGGTTGAATTTATGTTCACAGCAGAACTGACTATGTTACCTGTTGCATCACATCCTGCTTCTGTAGTTTCCAAGTAGCTCATTCAATCTTATTTTTGAATAATCTACTGATCTAATGGACTTGGTTTACATTAACTAAAAATACCATAATATTTAAGAAGTAATAACTGTATTGTTACAGCAAACATAAGTAGTTATTATCTTTTGTTTATTTACCTTGGCTAGGAGCAAGAAATCAATAAAGGCAGCACAACAGAAGCCAGCGGCGACGAGAAGCAAGAAGATTCCAATCACAATGCCAGAGGGAGTTCCATCAAAGGTCTTTAGAGCTGTGGCGAGCCCACTGCAACATCATTCACACCTTTAGTTACTCTGTAAGTCTTGTGCTTATACAGCCTATTTACTTAACTTGTCTTGTCGTAGGGGCTAATATTTATCAAAAATGTAATAAGCTAGACATAAGAATAATTTTAACTTGTATGCTACTTTAAATACCTACTATGGTATTAAAGACTAGAGAATTGAGGACTATCTTATTTAAAGAGGTGAGGATACGCACATCTAGTAGACTGGCTAAATGGCCTTCTAAATTGATGAGACTTAATTTCAATTGATGAGTACTTTGCTTGGTTTTAACTAAAAAAGGAAAAAAAAAATAAAAAGTATCAATAAACATCAGTACCTAACCCAAGTGATTTTGTTTTTAACAACCGTACACAGTGTTAGTTGACTTGGTTTGTGATCAAGTTGTTAAAAAAATTAAATATATATAATATATATTTTTAATATATCGTCTTAAAAGTTACCTTTTTGGAGGGGAAAAAGAATTTACAAGCAAGGAGAAGCAAAGTGCAAGTGTAGTAGGCTTAATAGGTCATCATTGATTCTCAAATTTAGGTAACATACATGTGATGAACGATATTATTTATTCAAGTCACAAGCAATCCCACTTAAATTGAAAGAAATGCTCGTTAAATACATCACAATAACAGCAACGAATACTTTTCCATTATCACACCAGTACTGGCCTTTGTGGTGATCACATGACCACAGTGATAAGAATGAGCTCACAACGTGTTATAACTACTCACCAAGTGCCGGCGCCCGGTAGTCCCAGGGCTTGAAAGATGGTGATGACCATCTGGAAGAAGAATATGAAGAAGAACACCATAAAGTTGAAGGAACTGTCACTTCTGCAACACAACACATCTACAGTAGAACCTCAGTGTTATACATCAAGACTACAATGGTGCATCAGTGGAGAGTCTAAACAAGTTGTTATTGCCATCAAACAATTTTTGACTCATGACTAGCTGAATAGATACAGGTGAGGCTCGACTATCCAACCAATACCAGCAAAAACAAGGTCAGATGACAATAACACAAAACATAACTAAAACTTATTATTTTAACGATTCTATGAATGATATTTATTGGTACATAATGTAGAGTTTACAAGATTTATGTTCAGGCGATTTGTCATGAATAAAATCATCCTTGTTAGATCGCCGTCACCGTGTAAGTACTATAATAAATAATTAACAGACACATTAAAATCAAAAACTTCATTTCATTTTAAAGCCAATAACTAATAAACAAATATGTGATCACACTAGGGATAACAGGATATAAGGAGTTGACAAGTTTTCAAGCTACTAGCGCCTTTATATTCATTACCATATTCTTAGGTAGTGACTTTGCCACACCAAGAAAAATTAAATCCACAAAGTTTATTCGAAGCTATTAATTATTAACAACTGTTACAGTTTTTTTTTGTAACACTACATTTACTGACAATTAAATAGTTAAATCTAAAATGGAGTGATAAAGTCACCAATACACAATACTTCTCTGTACATGATTGTGTGTTGATTACCTGAAGGCTTTATAGATAGGACGGTACCAGCAGATGAAGGAGAAGGGAGTGAAGATGAGAGTGTATATCACTCCTACACCGAAGGTGCTGAAGTCTGCGTTGTGAAGGATGAGGAGCAGACCTCCGATAACATTGATCACCATCAGTGCTGCGTGGACTGCACAAACAGACAAACATATTAGATGTTATATATTGTATAGGCTAATGTAGAAATGTAAGTAAATATTCTTTGCATAGCTGGGTGGCTGAGTGGTTAGTACTTGCCTGGTCATTAAAGGATTACTGGATCAATTAATTATGAGAAAAGCTAGAAGCTTTCTGAATGATTTGTAACTGTATTCAGCTGCCATTAGCCATCAGCAGGTTTGATAAATGATTCCGAAAACATCCAGCAGATCTTATTTAAGCAAAGATAATAAACAGTAACATAATTTATTCCACACTCATCCTTCACTCATCTTGGTCCTAAATTAGGCTGACTGGTGTGTTGGTGATAAATATTACAGCCATCCCTAATGGGATTTGTACTGATTTATGCATGCATTTTAATGGAAGCAATTTGGTAAATCCGTGATCATATTGTGCCTGAATGAAAAATTAGGCAAAATGAAAACAAAACTTTTTGGAGGTTGGTATGAATTCAGGATGAGGATGAGAGTATGGATGTTGTTTAAGAGATTAGTTGTTGCAGACATTTTTTTACCACGGTGATCACTTGATAGGAAAAATCTACAACAGGACTTCTATTACGGTCAATTATCCGTATCATGAAAAAAACTGTTTTTATTAAATGTATCAACAAAACAATTATTCTCAACTTACACATCCAGAGATAATACAGGTTGCGCACAATTGGTTGAAACTCAACAGGAATCTCAACGTTGATGTCTTGATAGAAACAAGGTTGAAGACCACAACAGTTGTTCTCTGGTAGCGGGGGCCAATTGTTTCTCCTCACTGTAAAATCATAAATCACTGTATAACTCACTGTATAATAATAGTTGACGATGAAACTGACTAAAGTCAAGTGAATAAGTGATTGTCTTTGAACCCGAAGGTTACTCGTTCGATTCTCATCTGGAACGACAATGGACCTAGTTTTCATTTGATGGGTTACTTACGACGCTTTAACACAAAAAACAATCAGAACAATAGTACAATCCAAAATAAATAATACAGAACACACAGATCAATTTAATATTTGTTATGATTCGTTTTTGAAGGTAGCATGATGATCAAAATACGGCAAAATTTATTGGGTCAAACTTGCCATTATATACCCAAATTACAATGATCAAACTCTGTAGAGTGTTACAATCAGACAACCAATTTTCAAACCAATAGTTCTAGTTGTTTCAGCTAGCCACCTGACAACTTTATCCTTATCTATTGTTGGAAGCACTCCATTCTGGACCTTGACTCAGCAAACATTGTGTCTGGGATTATTTGAAACTCTGTTAATTTCTCCGTCCACAATAAATGGCCGGAAGGAAGTTGACCACAGAAGACCTAAACTACTCTTCAATAATGATCCATCATCTTTGAAAAACGCCTTTTAGGAGGCATGTATTTTTCTGTGGGATGGATTATTATAAACTATTGTAGTTTGCTTGTTTATGGATATATCTTAATCAAATTTGGCAATTTTGTTTATTTCATACTAAGCTATTAACATTTAAATAAAAAATCACACCTCAATATCTTCCCTGTAGCAGAAAACCTAAGTAGGCTACTCACTAAAATTATGTGGAAATAAATCTGACAATTTTTAGGGAATATTTTATTAGTAATCAAGCCGGGTAAATGGAAATTCGCTTAGTCTGCAGGTTTGCTGCGACGGGGGTATTTATTAAGTACTCTTACTTAGTATTAGTTTATTTGACTTTTTCCATACATGTATCATGTTCACGGAAATAAAGCATTTCATTTCATATTACTTACATAATATTGATTAGTTTGTCAACTGAAACAATTCGTTAAAAAAAGGAGAAATTTTGATTTAATTTCCGTACGAAATGTTACAGGTCCTCCTAGTTATTGTTAATAGAACTTCAAGCTTAACACGCTTGAAGCGCTTTGGCGAATTTTCCATATAGGGAATAAGCTATTACCGTAGTACTCATGGTAAGACCTGGACACAGGACCCATTTACTTTTTCGTTTTGAGGTCCCTAGAGGCTAAAAACACATTCGGTAGCACGATAACTCTAGCAAAAATGATCCGATTTTGATGAAATTTGGTACAAATGTGTAAATTTACACTTATTCGAACGAGTTCGCAAACCAGCATGATCGGACTGTGGGAACGAGGGTTTATGGGGGGTTTTAGAACACAAACACAACATTTTACAATTTCTTTCCTAACCATTTTGTAGAGCTTAAAAATCAAATAATTTAGTATATTGAAGTGTAATTATGCGCCTAATGGTTACGGAGAAAATTCCAAAAAATTGTAAATTTAAAATTCCCATGTTATTCCTATGGAGAATAAGTCAACTGTTGTAGTTTGCTTGTTTATGAAAATATTTTGATCAAATTTGGAAAATACATTCATTTGTTACTTACTACATTATTAACATTTTACAAAAAAAAAAACTTGTTTACCCCCCCCTGTTGCAGCAAACCTAAATAGCCTACTCATTGAATTAATTCTATTTAAATATGGAATAATAATGTGATATTTATAAGGAGACATTTTAGTGTAAATCCAATCAGGCAAATGGAAATAAGCTTGAAGTCTGCAGGTTTGCTGCGGCAGGGGTATTATTTGTTATTGTTTGAAACTGGACACAGCTGGTTAATTTTTATAACAAAACAACAAAAGGAATCACATTACCAAATCTTGCATGGTTTAAATATTTTTTTGTATAAAAATATGCATTGTTCCTTTTTTATGTCGTCACATAGTAGCCTAAGACCTAAGAAACACAGCTTCATAATAAAATATATACGACTAAAGTGGCAAAACGCACCATTGTATGGGGCATTCCTGAGTTCTTCTTCTCTCCTCGCAAGCTCGGCAGCTTTTCTCTCTAGCTCTTCTTGTCGACGCTGAAAAAACAATATTCCAAATATGTTGATCTGTTTAAAAAGTACAGGTCTACAATTAGAACATAGTTTAGTAAAGGGTATACATGTACTCCTAGGACGCATTCACTGTAGGCTGTACATACATAGTGTTTAAGAGAGTAATATAATGTACAATCTAACTAATGACCAACAACACGACTATTTAATACCATAATAACCAAATTCTTTTTTTTTCTATAAAAATAGAAAAATAATTAGGCTTGATAAAAAAATTGCATTGTCGTTTTAAATGACCTCATAGTCTAGGCTAGACAAACATTGACATAAGTATAAACTTTACAAACAAATCAAGATAAAACTGTTCCATTAAGGTCAAGGGGTTTAGTTAAATCATAAGTTAGAATTATGAGCACCAAGAATCATAACTTTCAATGATATTTGTTGGTCTAGTGATAATATCTACATCTAAATTCTAAACATAAAATGTCCTTAATTATTTAATTGATTGCTATTGTAATTCTTTTACTTATGTGACAAAAAAGGTCACCAATATACGAACTTAAAAAGCAGTTCATCAATTTAAAAACTTAACAATTTTAATTTAGATGCCCAAACTTTTGAAAAACTGTCTGGGTAAAAAATAGTAAATTGTCAAATAAATGATAGTAGTCCAGTAAATCTGTCAGAAAATATGGGGTTGCTGTGCAAAAGGTCGGGTAGTTCTGATTTTAGCGAATTTCCCATATAGGGAATAAGCTATTACCGTAGTACTCATGGTAAGACCTGGACACGGGACCGATATTTTTTTTGTTTTGAGGTCCCTAGAGGCCAAAAACACCATCCGTTCAAATTCATATATATATATATATATATATTTATATATATATATATATATATATGTGTCCGTCAGCACGATAACTCAAGCAAAAATGATCCAATTTTGATGAAATTTGGTACAAACGTGTAAACCTACGTTTATTCGAACGAGTTCGCGATCCAGCATGATCGGACCATGGGAACGGGTGTTTACGGGGGGTTTTATGGGGTAAAAATAGGTTTTTCCCATTTTTGACCCAAAAAACTTAAAATTTTGCAATTTATTTCCAAACCATTTTGTAGAGATTAAAAAAACAAATAATTTAGTATATTGAAGCGTTATTATGCGCCTAACGGTTACGGAGAAAATTCCAAAAAATTGTAAATTTAAAATTCCCATGTTATTCTTATGGAGAATAAGTAAACTGTTGTAGTTTGCTTGTTTATGAACATATTTTGATCAAATTTGGAAAATGTTTTTATTTCTTACTAACTATTAACATTTTACAAAAAAAAAAACAATTTTACCCTCCCTGATGCAGCAAACCTAAGTACTTGTTAAACTAATTCTATTTAAATCGGGAATAAATGTTATATTTTTAAGTAGACATTTCAGTGTAAATCCAATCAGTCAAATGGAAATTCGCTTAGTCTGCAGGTTTGCTGCGGCGGGGGTATTTGGATATGTTGTTAGTATTGGGCCCATAACATAAAATCCAAGTTATCCACCTCGAGATGCTGCCGCTCGCCGCGGGGCGCGCCACTTGTTATCGAAATATCAAACATATGGCAATTCCTATTGTTTTTCACTCCATCTCGCGAACCGCTCATTTTACCAAAAATTTGATATTATTACATTAAAGAAGAATAAATTTGTGACAGTTTAAGCCCAACAGCAAGTATGTAGCGTAAATAATGGTCAAAATACAGACCATCAAAATAAATATATTTTCCAAAGACCGATAAAAATTGTGGTTTTTTCAATATTTCCACAATATAGTTGTTTGAAGCAAACACCGTATTGATTTAGAGAGTATGCCAGTTTATTTGCTATTAATAGAAAATAAATGAAAGTACGAATAAAAATACCCCCACCTCAGCAAACCTGCAGACTAAGCGAATTTCCATTTGCTTGATTTGATTTTCACAAACCTATTTAAATAACATTAGGTTTAACTGGTGCCTAGGTTTGCTGCTACAGGGAGGGTAATATAGTATATAAAATAATAATAGTATGATAAGAAACAAATAAATTTACCCAATTTTATAAAAATGTGTCTATAAATAAGAAAAAAACAATAATTAAAAATCTTCGCTGTTGGAATAACTTGAGGTTTTTTAATTTACATTTTTTAATTTTCTCCGTAACTAATAACTGTAAAAAAACATTTTAATGTACTAAATTATTTGTTTTTAAGCTCTTCAAAATGGTCTAGAGATACATTGTAAAATTGTATGTTTTAAGGGTCAAAAATACGAAAAACCCGTTCTTAACAAAAAACCCCATAAAGCAAACCGTACCCATGGCCTGATCAAATCAAATCAAAATCTGTTTTATTTCCAAAAATTTTTTTACAATACATACATATACAAAATACGAACAATAGTCCCACCTGCAGACTAAGCGAATTTCCATTTGCTTGATTTGATTTTCACAAACCTATTTAAATAACATTAGGTTTAACTGGTGCCTAGGTTTGCTGCTACAGGGAGGGTAATATAGTATATAAAATAATAATAGTATGATAAGAAACAAATAAATTTACCCAATTTTATAAAAATGTGTCTATAAATAAGGAAAAAACAATAATTAAAAATCTTCGCTATTGGAATAACTTGAGGTTTTTTAATTTACATTTTTTAATTTTCTCCGTAACTAATAACTGTAAAAAAACATTTTAATGTACGAAATTATTTGTTTTTAAGCTCTTCAAAATGGTCTAGAGATACATTGTAAAATTGTATGTTTTAAGGGTCAAAAATACGAAAAACCCGTCCTTAACAAAAAACCCCATAAAGCAAACCGTACCCATGGCCTGATCAAATCAAATCAAAATCTGTTTTATTTCCAAAATTTTTTTTACAATATATACATATACAAAATACGAACAATAGTCCCGCATAGGCCGTAAAAGACCTGTGCGCAGGACGAGCTCTATTACAAATCAAATTAGGAATATTCTTAAAAATTAAAACTAAATCAATCAAAATACTATTTACAACTAAGCTATGAGACAGCTACAGGAACAGTTAATGCTAAGTAAAAGGTAGTCGAGTGAATGGAGTTGCAGTTACTAATGTCTGTACGCTAAATATTGTTTGGCGTACTTGTGTATTTATTATTGTTATGTATTGTATACTGAACTGATGAGTGTCTCAGACTTATCGAGCCTAATCTCCGACAGCCAACTGCTTACTGAACGTTTATAAACTGGAAGAGATACCTGTAGATCGCTAATCTCTGATGGTATATTCCTATACAAAAAAATTCGCAATATAAAAGCATTGGTAAGGTTTGCAGACTTGAAAACTCGGGGTACCTGCATACCTACATTTACAGCTTTTGTGGTGGGATAGTTATGTGTGATTGGCGTCACTATCAAATCTTGATTGGAGTAGGTATGTACAAGTAAAGTTTTGATAAAAAGTTGACGCACCGAAAGTAATTGAGTGTTTTTTAATAATAAATTTGTAGCTGTTGAATTAAAAAGATATTTTAATAATTAGTTTTTGTATGACAAACAGTGGCTTTAAAATATTGCTACTAGCTCCTCCCCATACTATAATTCCATATTGAAGTACCGATTGGACAAATGCATAGTATAACATTTTTATTTCATTAATGTTAAGAATTTAGCGTACGTTTCTAAAAACATAAATTAATTTCCTAAGTTTTGTCTTATACTTCAATGATCATGCTTCGCGAACTCGTTTTAATAAATGTAGGTTTACATGCCGAAAAACAGACCTTCAAAATATACCTTCAACGGCAAAACTACTCTTCCCAAAGCTGTCAAATGTTTATACATAAACATTTAAGCTAAGCTTTGGGTACAATACTTTCACATGAAAACAAAATAAAACAGTTTAACATAGTTAACAGTTTATTGAGGCTGAAAGATCAGACAAATAAGATATTCCAATTACAATCACTCTACAGATCTTCCATGCAGCGGGTAATTTTTCCACGCCAAGTGCGCCCATCTATACAGGACATGCTGAATATGAATTGAAATACAGGATTGATATTGAAGAACAAAAAAAAAATTCACAAAGATCGGAAATTTCACTACAGGACGTACAGACAAGTTCTGGTGTGGAATTTGGTCTGATTAGGCCATCGAACAGGCCCTCATAAAGACAATGAAAAGCACTGGTGGATTGACTCGGGGACGAGGGATAACAGACAAAATGTTGTAACTTGATGGGCGCTTGGGATGATCCGTCCTCATCAAATCTGTAGGAAGTTGAGAAATATTATAACAAATTACGTCAGTTGAACATTAACAGTGAGCAACATGTTGACGTGCGCCATTCTCGCATTGCTCAAGACAACGAAATTGATGAAAAGATTCAATAGTGGTTTCCTCAACACACACCATTCAATATAAATGATATGCTGATTATTAGCAAATTTCCCTTATAGGGAATACGCTATTACAGTTGGTCTCATGGTAAGACCTAGACCCGGGACCGATTTACTTTTTTCATTTTGGTATTCCAAGAGGCCAAAAATACTGTTGGTTCAAATTGTTATAACATATATAAATATATATATATACCGGGTGTCCGAGAAAGACTCCATAGTTTTAAACATACCTCACAATACTATTGTTCAAATGGATGAGTAATAATCATTTCGTGCTGTGTAGAGTATACTTCAAAGTTTTAGTTTTGTACGTTGGCAATGAGTTGCGTACACCTATTTGACCTTGAACATAGTTTTGGTAATAAATTATAATACAAATAATAAAATATTAATGATAAAAATTAGTAAGAATAGCTTGCACGTCTGCAGGGCTACAAATGGTTCGCATATTGAGGTGTGATAGTGTTAAAATAACTTTTATTTTATTACCTTTCATTTAATGTATCAGCATAGCCTTCTCTATGGTATCAGTCGTTGAAAAGTAGTTTGTATCTAGTACAATAAATAAATAAATTTTCAAACTAGGTAAGTTTTTTGGAGACCCAGTATCCAAAAAAAAACTAAAGATTTTACTAAACTGTATCCAAAAAAGTTATTATCGTCTGTTAGCACGATGATTCCCAAAAATCATCCGATTTAGTGGAATTTGGTACAAACATTACTTTAATTTGTGAATCAAGAGATGGACTATTTATCATATTTACTTTGTATTGTAAGGGACTTAGCCTATTGCTTTTTCTTAATGGCCTATATAAATCATTGAATCATTGAATCATGCACACATACATTTATTTATTAAAACGAGTTCGCAAAGCATGATCGGCATGATAAGGCCATAGGAACGGTTGCTTTATAGGTATTTTGCCGGTAAGAATATTTTTTTTCATTTTTAACCCTCAAAACATACAATTTTACAATTGTATCATTAAATAATTTTGTAGAGCTTAAAAACAAATAATTTAGTACATTAAAATGGTTTTTTTTACAGTTATTGGTTACGGAGAAAAATAAAAAATGTAAATTAAAAAACCTCATGTTATTCCAATAGCGAAGATTTTGAATTATTGTTTTTTCCTTATTTATAGACACATTTTTATAAAATTGGGTAAATTTATTTGTTTCTTATCATACTTTTATTATTTTATATACTATATTACCCTCCCTGTAGCAGCAAACCTAGGCACCAGTTAAACCTAATGTTATTTAAATAGGTTTGTGAAAATCAAATCAAGCAAATGGAAATTCGCTTAGTCTGCAGGTTTGCTGAGGTGGGGGTATTTTTATTCTTACTTCATTTATTTTCTATTAATAGCAAATAAACTGGCATACTCTCTAAATCAATACGGTGTTTGCTTCAAACAACTATATTGTGGAAATATTGAAAAAACCACAATTTTTATCAGTCTTTGGAAAATATATTTATTTTGATGGTCTGTATTTTGACCATTATTTACGCTACATACTTGCTGTTGGGCTTAAACTGTCACAAATTTATTCTTCTTTAATGTAATAATATAAAATTTTTGGTAAAATGAGCGGTTCGCGAGATGGAGTGAAAAACAATAGGAATTGCCATATGTTTGATATTTCGATAACAAGTGGCGCGCCCCGCGGCGAGCGGCAGCATCTCGAGGTGGATAACTTGGATTTTATGTTATGGGCCCAACACTAACAAAACCGATGAACAAAACCGATGAGTCAGGAAGTGGTGCTTCAGCAGACATCACGGTCAACACAACTGAAGGTGGGACAACAACCTCTACTGACAAAATGTCTTTTGATAAAAGTAGTACCTGTAGTGTAGATACTAATGTAAATAGTAGTGATCTTCAAAAAAACTTAACGTCAGCAACCCAAGTGTATGTAACTTAGCTTTAGATAAACGTGTAAATAAGCCAAAACAATTAAAAAATTTAAAGTTTAATGTAAAATATAAAAAAAATATTCTAAAAAAATGTTTGTTAACTCACTTAAATATTCAGGGATCAAGTTTAAGTAAATTTGTTGTCTTGAAAGTTACTTTAGATCATTTAAAACTTGAACCAGAAATTGTTTGTTTGTCAGAACATTGGATGGATACAAATGATGTTCACTTGCCTAACTGTTTTTCCTCCTATAAGCTAGCCTCAGTTTACCACAGAAGTGTAAAAAGTAGGGGAGGGGTATGTATTTTTGCAAAAAATAATATCACTTTTAAAGAAAGGAAAGATATTGATTCTATGGCAATTGAAGAAGCTTTTGAATGCACTGCTATTGAAACAATGAGTAATGAAAAGTCAACCAAAACAATATACATTGTAATTTACAGGACTCCGAATGACCAAAACCTAAAGATTTTTTTCTCAAGCTTTGAAAAACTATTACAGCACCTTGAGGCAGAACAACATTTGTGTCCAATATACATAAGTGGGGATTTTAATATAGACATGCAAATTGATGATGAAAAATGTGTTAGGTTTAAAACTTTGTTTCAGTCTTTTGGGTACAATGCCATGATCAAGGAGTATACTCGAATAACACCAACTACAGCCACTTGTATTGATAATGTAATTTCAAATGTAAATAGTATTGATAAGATTTGTGAAGTAGTGGACTTTGGGATATCTGACCACTTAGGTCAGGTAATTTGTCAAAGAAATGAAATAAGGCCTAACCAATGTAAAAAATACTTGTCGAAGCGGGTCATAAAGAAGGAAAACGTTCTTGGTATGTTAAACGGTCTGATTGAAGAGAACTGGACTAATTGCATGTCAAACCTTAGTTCTAATGGTAGTTTCAATAATTTCTTTGGAATATTCTATGATTCTTTTTTGAATAATTGCCCAATTAAACAGAAATCTCTGTCAACAAATGGGAGAAATAATCAATGGGTAACAAAAGGTATTAGAATATCCAGTAAAAGAAAATGGGAGCTTTATAAAATTTCTAGAAATAATACAAATCCTGTTTTCTTAGAATACTTTAAAAATTACAAGAAGGTTTTTAAGAAAGTAATTTGGGCAGCCAAAATGAGGTACAACTTAAATTTGTTAGAGAATAGTGATAATGTAGGTAAAACAACATGGAGCATTGTAAAGAGAGAAATCGGTACAAATTGTAAAACAGAACCTTGTCTAGGAATCAAAATTAATGGGGAGGTTATTGACGATCCTATAAAAGTAGCTGATTGCATGAACCATCACTTCATTGGTGTAGCAAATAAGTTTCAGTCCCAGGTTTCGGTGGCAGATTCAATAGCCAAAGCAAAAATGGCAACTCTAAATGTCCCACATGCATTTGAATTTAAGATTGTCTCTGAATCCGATGTTATCTCCTGCATCAATCGATTAAAGAATAAAAGTTCAACTGGCTGGGATGAAATTCCTACAAATGTAATAAAATCATTGGCTTCTTCAATTATAAAACCACTCACTCATTCTATCAACATTTCACTGCTGACAGGAGTCTTCCCCGACAAATTGAAGTATGCTCAAATTATACCTATATTTAAAAAGGGGGACTCGGAAGAAATTTCAAACTACCGACCAGTGGCTCTCTTACCTGTGTTTTCAAAAATATTTGAAGAGGTTGTTCTCTCACAAATTGTTCCATTTCTTGAATCAAACAATTTATTGAACAAGAATCAATTTGGTTTTCGGAGGGAGAGAAGCACGTCTGATGCAATAGTCAATCTAGTTTCTGAGGCAGTGGAGGCCTTGGACGGATCGCAGAGAACCTTTGGTGTTTTCTGTGATTTGTCTAAGGCCTTTGATTGTGTCAGGCATGACATTCTCTTGGAGAAATTGAGATTGTATGGGATATCTGGATCATCTTTTTCTTGGTTTTCTAGTTACATCACTAACAGATATCAGCAGGTTGTCATCAAAGATAAATCCGGTGTAAAACATTTTTCTGAATGGAGCTCAGTAACCCATGGTGTTCCGCAGGGATCTAAATTGGGGCCTCTTCTGTTCATCCTCTACATCAATGACTTGTCTTTTTCAATTTCTTCCAAAATTATTCAATTCGCTGATGACACAACAATGCTAGTAAGAGCACCTTCTATTTTTTCTGCAACTAACATTGCATCCCGAGATTTAGATTCCATGATAACTTGGTTTGCACAAAACGGACTACATCTAAACTGTTCCAAAACTCATCTTCTTCATTTCCATAATCCACAACTGAAGGCAGGTGAGATAACAATCAAACTAAAATCAGGTGATTCCATAAAATCTTCTGCAAATACTAAATTCCTGGGTGTAAACATAAATGAAAATCTAAAATGGTCTGATCATCAAATACAAATTAGCTTGTCTCTAGCAAAAGCACTGTTTGGTCTAAGGGTGGTTTATAAGTCTTCGGGTTTGCATGCAGCTCTTGCTGTGTATCATTCTTATTTTATGTCTAGGTCTTCCTATGGTATTATCTCATGGGGCAGCTCCCCCATTACCAAGAATATTTTTATCTTACAAAAAATTGCCGTTAGAATTTTAGCTGATACCAGACCACGTTCCTCTTGCCGCCCCCTTTTTATTCAGATGAAACTCTTGACAATTTATGCAGTTTATATTTTTCAACTGTGCATCCTTGTAAAAAGAAATTATAAGGAATTTATGTTGAAAAATTACACTCATCAATATAACACCCGACACAGGAATGATCTTCAATATCCTGTGCATAGAACAGCTCTGTATGAAGGATCGCCATGGTACATGGGTAGGAAAATTTACAATAACCTCCCAGATCAAATTAAAACTGAAGAAAATATGTCATCCTTTAAAAGAAAACTAAAATCTTATCTCATTCTCTTGTGTCCTTATTCCCTAGATGATTTTATAAAAACTTAGCTTTAGGTTTTATGGATTGATAAAAACAAAGAATTTAGCATAAGGTATTATTAGATTGTAAAGTGGTATTGACATGTCATATGTTTATATGTGAAAATCACAATCTTGTAAACTTATGTGACGAATAAACATTTCATTTCATTTCATTTCACTAACAACATATCCAAAAATCAGAACTACCCGACCTTTTGCATACCAAAATGTCTTATTTTACTGGACTAATAGGCCTATCATTTAAAAATAGAGTTTTAATCAAACAACAGGATATGGAATGAAATATAACTTAATCACTGGGTATAATTGATTTTACTGCAAAGACAGCTGTCCTTGAAAATTATTTCCTTATGATAGAACTGTAAACTGTCGAAATAAAGAGTAAAAAATTCACAATATTTAGCCTACTATTTACTTACGTCTAATTCAGCCTGGAAAGCAGATGACAAAACAAAACATTCATATTACCAAGTGCTTAATACCTTTGACTATCCAAAGGTCAATGATAACCAACTACAAAATTATAGATAAAATACCTTAAGTAAAACACTCTTTGTAAACTAGTATGCTACAGTATTAGATTAAGAAAAGTGTCTACAATTAATTGATCTATTCATATCCTTCAAACGTTTACAAACTGACCTATTAAATATCAGTTTAACTTGGTCAGTGCTATACTACTATGATAGTAAACAACTAAAAGTTAATGTTGTTTTAATTGTTTAATGTATTTAATTCTTTTCTTGTGTAGGCCTATTGATGTACATCAGAGTGCCCAGGGTCCCATAAAAATAAAATTCAAAGACAATTCCTGGTTTTCCAGGTTCAAAATTCAAAAGTTTCAGGACAAATTTGCCGCTCCAAGAAAGCAAAACTTATCCGTAATTACTGATATTGGCTAGTAAATGAAAACCCCTTTTGCAAATTTCATGTTAAGTTCTTGAGATCGTAACCATCTCAGTGATCATATCTTTCGACCACGGCAACATCGGTGATGTTTTCCCGCTATGGCGGTAATATTCGTCATTTCCTGCGATCGCGGCAACATCAGTGATTTTTTCTTACGAATGCGGCAACATCAGTGATGATTTCCCGCGATCGTATAAAAATCCGTAATAATCTTCCACGACCGCAGCAACATCAGCGATGGTTTTCCATGATCGCAACAGCATCCATGATAATTTTCGGCAATCCCAGCAGCAACCGTGATGATTTCCTGCGATCGCGGCACATCTGTGTTGATTTCCTATAATCGAAGCAACGTCCATGAAGATTTCTGGCAGAGTGGACTGTGATCACCTTCAATGACCATGTCAACACCTCTGCCTCTGGTTATTTCCCGGGATCGCGAAAACATTCAAAGTTCCCAGTTCTTAACAAAATTCACGTTTAGTCACATATTTTTTCCCGGTTTCTAGGTGAGATGAACCCTGTATGCACTATAAGATAGGCTATCAGGATAGCTGTTTGTCTTCAAAAGATTTCAAAGTGGCACCACTGATAATGTGTATGAACTTTTCAACAGTCGTTGAGACAATTTAATGATTATTGAACACACCAAACAGTTTAAATACTTTTAAAATATAATCATGTACGGATAATTCGCTGCTAATAAATGAAGTAGGCCTACGACTTATGGTTAAGCTGTGGTCTCACCTGGAACTCAGCGGCCGACAGTTGCTGGGGCTGTGTCTGCTGCGCAGTCTTGGCATACGCAGGCGGGGCCACCTCCTGTGTGGGCTGCATGATAGCAGGCTGTGAGGAGGGTTGGTAGGGTGGGTTAGCTGCGCCTCGCACCGGCTGCAATAAAAGTAACAACAATCTACTATACTACACCATAGTCTAGTAAAATTCCAGGAAATGCAATGAAATCTAAAAACACAAATATTCTGTTTTATTATTGTAAACGGCTATATTACTTTGGTAATCACAAAATATCTGAGTTTATTAACCGCTATCATGGCAAAACCTGTGATATTTTAACAGGACCACTTTCTTTCTAAAAAGATACAACCTGAAAAGTTAACCAATAGAATTCTAATGAATTGAAGCTCAAAACTAGGCTACTGCCTATTAGGTTAGGCTACTTAATTGAGCTTATTTCAAATTTTCCAGTTCTATACTAAATTTAAGTAACTTAGGCCTACAAAAACATTCCAGTTATCTTGATTTCTGGTCAGCTGGATACCCTTGATACCTAGTTGAAACACATAGCTTTGCTTTTAATTTATCTACAGTACACGATTTTAAATCACGCAAAACGAGAAATTTCTGTGACTTCAGTTGAATTTTTGGTTATCATTCAAAAATTGTAACCCGGTCCCTTCCTAAATTCATGAACAATTTACAAACGTTTTTCTGGTCTTCAAAATGCATGTACAATCCCGAGATTTTCCTGGTTTCCAGAACAGATCCAGATTTTACCTGCAATGGGTGATTCAGATCAGCCGGCCATCCTTTTAGTGAGATTTGGATTAGTGGAACCTAGATAAACTAATCCCTATGTTTACATCTTCTGCTGAAACTAAATTTTCATTTTTAACAGTGTTCACTTCCCTAAGTATAACTCAAAGTCTTAAATAACACAAACAACCAAGGCCTACTTACTGCTGCATTTCTCTGAGGTGCTTGGTCTGCAAAGGGATTGTAGTCTTCTAATCCCTGGGTAGCATTAGTGGCATGTTTTGTTACCTGGGTCACTGATGGGTCCTGCAAAAAAAGTTTACTAAACTTAAAAAAACAGAACCAATGAACCATTCTTGTTCCAAAAGAAATGTGGAAATTGAGTCAATCTTGCTGTGTTTGTTGTAGGATAATTTTTTGTTTGGAGAGTGAACAGCATGTTTATAAAGCTGATCAACTTATGTTAAGGAGAGAACCACCTTGAACTAATGAACTTTCAAACTGTTACTTATACTTACTGTGCAGCTGGTATTTGGTAAATATACAGTAGGTAGGCCTAGTGATGTGCGATACAGGTCAATGTATCGATAAGCAGTATCAATATGTATCGGAGCAGGATGTTTCGATACATGTATCGTATCTTATCTTCAGTTGTATCGATTTTTACCCGTATCGGATGAAATATTGTATATTATTTGTTTATTTATAATTTTAAAAAATTTTAAAGCTGCAGTTGAATTTGAATGATACCAGATGAGTCACTACTCAGAACACTGACCCAGACACAGGCGGTGACAGGTGGTGACGCGCTACGGAAAATGACCTGACCTTGGCCTACTTGGAGTGGATTTGGCGGGCAAAAGCATGACTCATAATGGTAATGCTCAATTCATAACAAAACGAGGAAAGTCCTACAAACATATTTATGATAACCCAACCTAACATAACCACCACAGCGCGCTGTCCCTAAGTAAAGGGCGGCCTCCGTATAATACCAAAGTACAAAAATGTACGTATTTAAAACAATGTCTAGATAATATAGGCCCTAGTGTACAGTACACTACTGCAACATGTTACCAGCACAACTGTGACAGTGACTGATGGCGGTGAATGGGGAATTGCCACTTTCCAGGTGTCTGGCCGAAAGCATTGAGAGGGTGATAACTTATGGCACGGCGCTACGCCTCGCTGTTTACATACTGTATTAAGTAGCTAGCCTATATTTTCTGCGCATTTTTGATATCGTTATTTCATTGTATTTCACCCACTATTTAATTGTGCAAAAACAGTCTGGAAGTTGCATAAATTAATGAGTCGGTTCATTATAACCTAACCTTTACCTTCCTAATCTAACCTCACTTCAAAACACTTAATACAGTCACGAATCCGCATAAAGTCCGACCTATCTTCCTCACATGCCTTTTCTGACATAAACTGTGATTTAAACATTAATATTAAGGTTGGGTTGGGTTGGGTTAGGTTAGGTTAGATTAGATTATGTAACATCATTTGTTATTTAGTTTCATGGTTTGTACTTTACTGTTTGGCTGTAGGGGAGAGGGGGGCAAGAGTGGACAAAAAATACATTTTATTTTTTTTAATTTTTTCTGTTGGTTAAATTAATTGAAATCAACACTTAATGTAACCTTTAACTATTTGTTATCAACTTTGCATACTTGATAAGTAAGATAAAACATTTTTTAACTATTTTTTTTATAAAATCGTGAAAAACTGCACCGTGTCCACATTTGCCCCCACTGGGGGTAAAAGTGGACATTGTGAGTTTTTTTCGGGGTAAAAGTGGACAGTACAAAAAAAATAAAATTTTGCAAGGGAAAAAATATTTATTAATGTAAACACATACTATAAGCTTCAGTGCTTATAAAATAACAAAAATTATCAATGAAAATCAAAATAAAAATGCAAATTTACATTTATAGAAAAAATTCTAACTAATAAGCTTCAATTCTTGTTACTTTTTTCTCAACTTTCTGAAATTAGCCCATGTTAAAGCCAGAAAAATTATACTTAAAATTAAAAACACTTATGGCCCTTTCTGTTCCTCCAACAACATTTGGTTGAGGCAATTTTACAATGATATCAGAAATGTCAATAGTACTTTCATCGTCAACTGCAGGTTTTACAAACTTGTAGGTGTAGTCCTTTCTTTTTAGGAAGCTGACTGTAAAATCTGTAAGACCAATTTTTTCACTGACTTGTGCTACAAAATACTTAATAACTTTTTTACCAGCTAACTTCACTAAGACAAAGTCATTAATATTCACATTTCTTCCATCATGTTCTACCTTTTCGCCAGTCCCTTCTGGTTCACTGTCACTAGATTCTGAGAAAGGGCTAAACCCACCATCATCGCATAGTTCCACATCGTCAACTTCTTCTGAATCACTTTCAAAACTGCCTATCAAATCTCTGGGTTTAAGTATCTTATTCTTTTTGTTTTTCTTCAAATCTTTTTTTACAGATAGGCTTAAATCAATTTTTCTTTTAGACCTACATTGGGCTTTTTCCTTCTTCATTAATTTTAATCTAACCTCCTGTTCTATTCTGTTCTTCTCCGGTGTATCTGTAAGCACACACGATTTCCCCTTTTTTCTCCCTTTGTTGATAGACTTTTTCCGTTCAGACCTGGGAAATGGTCTTACTTGCTCTGGACTGACGGCGGTTTTAAGTGTTTCCAATGGAAGTCTCTTTGGAATCGTTTCTTTGATACCGGGTACAGTTTCATCATTAGATAGGCCTATGCCTGTATCAGGAACATCCAAGTTAACTGGGTCTATGGCCATATTTTCTAATAGACCTAGGCCTACTTCCTTTGCAGAAATAGATGCAGATGTCCCAGGTTGAGAAATGTTTTCTTCAGTTGAATCTACAAAACCGCTAGGCAGATCAGCCTCCCCCATAGTGTCATCTTGTTGATTAGGTCTATCTGTAACTGTTGAGGGGGCAAAGTCATCTTGTGTAAAAACTGATTGGTTAAATGGTTCAATTCCAGTTTTTTGAAAACCAGAGATAATGTTCTTTCTGCAGAATGCTTCATCAAACGGAATCGAAGACAAATGGGCGATATTGTATATGCTTATATGTGTCCCTGGGTTAGAGCTTATCCACCTGTTAAAAGCAGCTTTACAGGCAGATTTGAAGGGGGCAAACACAGCCACATCAAGTGGTTGCAGTTTGTGGGAAGTATGTGGAGGGAATGTTAACAGAACAATCCCATTCTGCCTGCAGTAATCAATTGTATTTAAACTTATATGCGATTCGTGATTGTCCAATAGAATCAGTATTGGATTTTCTTTTGTTGGTAGCTTATGTTGTGCAATATGTTTGATTACTTCATAGAAAACATCTTGGTTCATCCAACCAGTTCGGGAGGCAAATCCAACACTGCCATTTGGAGCACCGATAAGGAATGAAGATTTCATATTCACTCTTGGGTAAATATATACCGGGGGGATAGCATTTCCAGCAGCGGTTACAATGCCACACACCGTGACAAGTTCACCTCTTTCTGCTGATACAGTTTGGCCTATTTGCTTGACACCAGTAGGAGCTACTACTTTTGGTGATTCTAAAACAGTGGTTAATCCAGTTTCATCCACGTTGATTATGTTGTCAGGCTTAAATTTGTTCTTTCCCCTCACCATTTCAAGGTTTTTGAAAAAAGTACTAACATTGTGTTGATTGAAGTTTAAATTACGAGCGATACTTGTATTTTCGGGTTTTCTTAAACTCAATCTTGGGTGTTTTTTCATGTAACCCTTCATCCAATCCAGTCCAGCTGATTTGTTCGTTTCCCAACTTATTGGTAGTTTCCGTTCCAACTTTACTCCGTAATCATATGCAAGCTCTCTGACCTGCTTATATGTCAGGCCATACTGAAGCTTACTTGATTGAATCAAGTAGTCCTCTAACATATCTTCTTCTTCAGTTGAGAACACCTGCGGATGGCTGTACTTGCTTTTGCCATGGTTTGATGTTGTAGGACCAATATCCGGATGGCCTGGCTCTAGTGGCCCAAGTTTTTTTAATCGCTTATGCAGCATGGATTTTTTTAAGCCATGATTGGCTGCTGCTTGTCGAATGGACATGTTTCCATTTTTCACATCTTCTAGGGCTGCCTTAACTGCCTCTTCTGATATTTCAGCTCTGTTAGTTTTTCTTATATAGTTCCGAACCATCTTGAAACCTAAAAAAGAAAAACAATATTTTTAATCCATTTATTTTAGGAGTAGGCCTGTGGGTTATTGATTTAGGGGGACAATCACGAGGCTATACTTTTAGCACACAATTTCTATTCTATGTAAATATTGAAAGACTTGGCCTACCTATTTGTGTACAGATATTATATAGGAAATTTATTTTATATGGATGTATAATAGGGCTGGAATTAAATTAGTTTTCACTCATAGCCTACATTTAGTAAAAAACCATTAATCTGCATGTGATACCCTCTTAATTTAAATTTAATGTCATAGGCCTAGGCCTATTGGCATTTAGAAGTAAGAAATATGCAAAATGCTAAGTGAAGTATGAAATAAAAAACCCTCGGGGCAAAAGTGGACAAAAATACATACGTCCACTTTTGCCCCTTAATTTGTGTCCACTTTTGCCCCATGGGCTGTTTTTTAGTTCTAACCTATCTAACTGATTTTAGGTTAGGTCAATTGCTTACTTCTCAATGCCAATTTATTCCTTAAAAGTTGTACTATAAAGACTTTAAATGCAAGATCAACTTTAAAAATGGCTTGGAGGCCTTATTTCAATATAAATATATGAGTAAAAATTTACTTTTAACCCCTAAAAACACAAAAAATGAGCTTACCTTCATGAGGTCATGTCAATGTGCTCCAAACTTCCTGTGTACAATCCAAACACTAGAACTATCTGGTGACTGGAATTTGAACTTCCTACTTCCTGTACAAGGCGGGAAATTCAAACTGTCCACTCTTGCCCCTGTCCACTCTTGCCCCCCTCTCCCCTATATCTAGCTAACGAGTTCTCTTATAAAACCGATTTATGGAATCATACAGCAAGTTTGGTTGGTTTGGTTAGTTTAGAACAGTTTCATTTCATAATGAACCATTATTTTTTCCTCGTGAAATCATACAGCAAGTTTGGTTGGTTTGGTTAGTTTAGGACAGTATCTTTTCATAATCAATAATTATTTTTTCCTCATGTAATTATACAGCAAGTTTGGTTGGTTTGGTTAGTTTAGAACGGTTTCATTTCATAATGAACTATTATTTTTTCCTCTGGGAATCGTACAGCAAGTTTGGTTGGTTTGGTTAGTTTAGAACAGTTTCATTTCATAATCAACGATTATTTTTTTTTCTCAACAAGTGAGTGTTCATGAGATCTACATGTTGAAATCTTAACTGCAGTACTTTGCTGTAAAAAACGGGTTTTTACAAGAAATGCAGAGGGAATTCTAGGGGTAATTGTGGTACAGTGACCTGTCACTGCAACTGCATTGCTATTGTTTTGGTTTGTGGTAAAACAGATGATGTAATTGTACAGATTTCTGATTGGCAGATGATTTCTTTCGTGTAGTAATCTGATTGGCTGGTGGTTTCGTTGTTAGTTTTTTGTTTTTAACCGTCTCCATGACTCCATGTTGTTAGTTCTTTAAGTGAAGTAGTGACCAAGGAGGACGAAGCTCAAATTTGTGTTTAATTTTTATTCTTATTGTGTCAGAAAATCGCGTTTGGACATTATGTAGAAAACGGGGTGATTCCTGGTGAAATAAGTAAGTATGTGAATACCTATCAATATGTATTTGTTGGACGAAGTGATTTTAATTTTCGTTGTAGGCTAGGTTGCTGTTGCTGGTTGGCTATCGGTCAACCAAAGACATGGTGCTCTCCGTGCTTGCCGGTTTTGGTTATCTTTGACTTTAAGTGAGACAGCAGTAGGCCTAAATTATATGTCGAGTGCATATTCCTTGTGAATTTTTCACATCGATGTAGTGAATCCAACATTCTTGAAGTGTGGAATTGTGTAAAATTGGTGTAGGCCTAAGTTATATTGAGGTTTTGGAGGAACTGTTGTTAGGTTTGGTTTTATTCAATTCCAGTCCATATTTGAGACTGGAATTGCTTTTCCCCCAATTATTATCCTCCAAAACTTCATTTTATACACTTTTTACACAATTTCACACTTCAGAAAGTGTTTTTAAGCTGGGGTCTGGGTCCTAAATTTTTACCGAAAATTTTGTCAATCCAGTAGTCAATGATATTAGGCCTACTTAGGCTAACTAGTATTTTTAGCAGCATAAATATTTAAGAATAGAGGCGATTCATCATCATTCTAGCAACATGTCATTTCAAAGAACCATAAACTTAAGCCTAGGCCTAGACCTGATGACTCATCATTGGGTTTCAGGGTATCATTACTAACAGGGGATTCACTATATCAGGTATTCAATAAAATTAACAAAGCAATATTTATAATACAAAAGTGTAGGCCTATTTATAAGCACAACGTTGCATAATTAATGAGCGAGGCTACAAGAATTTTAGAGCCATCTTGCCAGGATAACCTAAGTTATACTTTACAACTTACCGCAAACGGATTGTCAACAGTAGGTTCACCGAATGGATTATCATCAAACCCTGACATTTTTAACTAATTGAAACAGTCTACCTAATATGCAAAACTAAATTTAATCATTAAATAAGGAAATAAGTAGCCGTCATTAATAATACAACTGGCACTTAAAATATCAGCCCCTTCTTGACAGATAATGTCAGTCGACAGTCAGTATCAGTTTTTTTTTCAGATCAGATCAGCCAGCAGTAGAGCAAGAGCAGTAACAAACGAAGAAACGATTACGTAATAACGTTGGTCAGCTTAGATATGGAGGAGCAATGGAGCCTACGTCTCTTTGGTTTATAGATGAGACCTAACGTAAAAGTATACTATATAAAAGTGTCTCCGGTTTCTTAATTTACCCACTTTGAGATTATTAATTATTTATGTTCATTGAGATGACGTTTTTGTTTTCATAAAGGTTGATTCACACAGTCACGGCCGCCTTTAACTCCAGGGGCCCATTTCATAATAAAGTACAAACTAATATTATTAGTAAATCAGCTGATCGCCCAATGCAAATCAAATGGAAATTACAAGTTACAAGTTGTAACTTGTAACTTGTAGTTTATTATGAAATGGGCCCCAGGCCGCGGCCTTCGAACTGGCAACGTCGCAAGTGGTGTTGTAACAGCTGTTTTTTTTTGAAGCAACTAATGGTATTTGTGTATTTACGAAATATTGATTACTGGACTATGACAATATTGACTCCGCTTAAAAATGTACATATATAGATTTTAATTCATATTATTGTTTCAATTTTCAATTTTGTATGTTTTATTTTCAATATTTTAATAAATTTATGTTCATAAATTAAAAATTAAATCAATAAAGTGCGAATTAATGAGCTGATGTCACCTGTCTGTCATGTTATCTTATGAAACGTCTGTCACAGAACAACACCACTTGCGATGTTGCCAATTCTACCAGGCCGCGGCCTGTGTAGTTAAAGGCGGCCGTGTATCAGTTCAGTAACAGTTCCAGTTACAGTTCAGTCTCAGTTGCATCCGAAATTTCTCAGTCTATTAAATTTTCATCGTCCATCTTGTTGATTGTTACAAACAGTACTCAAGATATCAACACAATCATTTAAATAACAAAAGCACTATTTTCTAACCTCAAACAGGTCCGTCAGGCGTCCGAACAATCAAAAAATATCGGTGGAAAGAAATCGGCGTGTATAGAATATCTTGTAAGGATTGCCCAAGTAAATACATAGGGCGAACAGGCCGTGCCTTCCAAACACTAACACGATATAAAGAGAACACCGACCAGATCCTAAACACCATAAACAAAAATCTACGTTTGCTCAACACCTTGTAGATTCTAATCACTCAATGAGTGATATTAAGACCGGCTTGGAAGTTTTACATTATTGCGGGAAAGGTAATAAGTTAAACACACTTGAGGAGTATGATATATATAAAATGAACATAAACGAAGAACACAAGGAATACATCCTCAACGATAAACTACAGTTCAAGTCCCACTCCCTCTTCAACACTGTTATCTCACCAGGAACAGCTGACCACCGAGCTGATAACAGAGAAGGATGAGACGAAGCTACATAGCCCGTGTCCAGTCTACCTACAACCGCTGCCGTGCCATGTCATGATAGCGCTATCGTGTTATTTCGTGTTTTGAATGTTCCGTGTCCCGTGTTGTATTTTATGTTTAAATTATCAACTAGTCTCGTTAACTTCCTGAGAAGGTGTGTTAATCTTGACAACCTCTTTGCCACGTTATCCACATGATCTTTCCAACTCAGCATTGGGTAGATCGTAAAGCCTAGTAGATTTACCTTGACAACGTACCGGTACTGAGCTAAGTTTGAATGAAGTGAGCACAGGATTTTTTGTGTCATCTGGTCTTAGTTGAGTTTTAATTTGTTTGTCTCAAACTATTCTTTTGCTGCCCTAAACATCACTTCAGCTCTTTCTGAAGCAGTTCCTGGATTGCCACCAACAGAAATTAGGGTAGTGTCATCAGCAAACCTGAGTGCATTGCCACTTAGTTCAAGGTAGTTTATGGCTATCAGAAAGAGGACAGGGCCCACAACCGATCCCTGAGGCACCCCGTGAGGAACATTGAGCGCTCGGGACTTATTAGCTCCAGCTATATTGAGACGACCTGCTGTCTGTTCTCCAAATATGTCACAAAGGTGTTGTAAACTGCACCGCGCACCCCATATTTATTTAATTTGGCAAGGAGAATGTCATGCGAGACGCAATTGAATGCCTTGCTCAAGTTACATATATAATGTCAAGGCAACAGCGTTGGTATCCTCAAAAGGCTTGTTGATTGCGATGTATGAGCTCAGAGACGGCAGTGACAGTTGATCTGTCTTTACGGAAGCCGTGTTGAAGATTGGATATCAGGTTATTGCTGTTTTACTGTTCTATGAAATGGCGACCATACAAAGTAGGTATTTTATGCCAAGTATGAATGGAGATGAGTGTAGGATGAGTGGCGCGATCTTGTAGTCTTGTTAGTGACTAAGGCCGACATTCCTTAGACACAGCTGTTAATTAATAGCCCATACAGCTAATGGCAACTAAGGGACCTACAGTTTATAGTGGAATCCGAACCACATTTTTGCCTTGGCAATTACGAATTGGTCTAATTATCAGGATAGTACTGCAGATAGTCGTAGTACTCACCCGTGCGGTCGTTAATCCACACTGGGGAGTATCGCATCTACAGTGCATGCCTATAAATATCCACAATTCGTTACCTCCTAGTAGCTGGATTACAGGACGACGCCACCCGTCCCAGTCAAGATAGATGCTCTGGCAAAGAGGGATGGCAACAATATTGATTATATTATGGACTGTTATTCGTTTTAAAATAACGCCTGTAATACGTAGCAATTGCTCGAATTCGAGCAACCGGTACACTCGCTCAAGATAAGAGACTAGCTGAAGTTTGGTGGCTGTTTCAATTACCTTAGCGAAGGTTGGTATAATAGATATGGGTCTATAGCTCTGTACACTTGCTGGATCTCCTTTTTGTAGATGGGGACAGTTGTATACACCCTTAGGATTCTAGGAAATATTCTGACACTTAGGAAATAATTCAGGACCTGGCAAAGAGGGATGGCAACAATATTAATAGTGTGCTTTAGTATGACAGTAGTCATTCCATGTCTTTAATACTTTAATACTTTTCAATGAAATGGCGACCATACAAAGTAGGTATTTTAAGCCAAGTATGAATGGAATGGAGATGAGTGGGGCAATATTGTAGTCTTGTTAGTGACTAAGGCCGACTTATTCCTAGACACAGCTGTTAATTGATAGCTCATACAGCTAATGACAAGGGACCTACAGTTTATAGTGGAATCCGAACCACATTTTTGCCTTGGTATATACGAATTGGTCTAATTGTCTAATGTACGAATTTTCGGGGCTGTGAGAGGTCTTAAAATGGTCTACCATGGTGACAAGGCTCTCTGGTGTAAGAGGTTGTCAGGATGAAAGGTTGGCATCAGGAGACTGTATGCCTTTGACTATTTCGGGACCTACAAGGCCTTCTACAGTACTGATGAGATGGGTATTAAAGTCATCGGGGCTTGCAGAACATTTAGAGGCAGGTGACAGCCCTTGACCGGTTTCACGGTTGTTGTTGTTGTTGTTGACCAAACTCCATACCGCCTTGCAAGGATTAAGCGAGCTTTCAATGAGCTTCACATTTGAAGCTTTCTTTGCCTGATCTATTTTAATTCCATACAACGTTTTTGGCTGTGGTGTAAAGAGTAAAGAAATGCTCCCTATTGACGGGGGTCTCCACCGCCATGTACCTATCTCTGAATGCTAGCACAAACATTTGTATCTGCTTTAGCTCTGCAGTATTTATAATTGGTGTTCAAGAAAGAAGATCACACGATTTTAGTACAATCCCATCCATTCCTAGCTAGATATAGGGATAATGGCATGGCAATGTCACAATCATGCAATTTCAGAATAATATGTTGTATGTTAATGTTGTTGTAAAATCGGAGTTCAAGTATTTGACGGATGAAGTAAAGTATTAGTGGTTGAAGTAAATTAAAAACTAAAATTAAAAAGTTAATGTTGTAAATGAAGACGTTTTAATTTTGTTAGTCACACATGCTTAACTAAATTAAGTGATTACATATAAAAGGATTTAGCCCTATAATGATTCGATTTTGATTTAATTTGGTACAAATATGTAAACCAAATATATTCGAACGAGTTCGCGAACCAGCATGTTCAGGCAAACCCGGTGGTTCATGAGAGGTTTTATGGGGTAAAAATTTGAAAAACCAATTAAAAAAAAAACTAAAAGCATAAAATTTTGCAATTTATTTCCAAACAATTTTGTAGAGCTAAAAAAATTGTATATTGAAGCGTTGTTATGCTCCTAATAGTTACGGAGAAAATGACAAAATATTGTAAATTTAAAATTCCCTTGTTATTCTTATGGAGAATACGTAAACTGTTGTAGTTTGCTTGTTTATGAACATATTTTGACCAAATTTGGAAAATGCATTTATTTCATACTAAACTATTAACATAAAAACAGTTATTTTTACCCTCCCTTTTGCAGCAAACCTAAGTATGGTACTTGTTATACTATAATGCTATATTTAAATTGGGAAATAGATTCGATATTTTTAAGGAGATATTATAGTGTAAATCCAATCAGGCAGGCAAATGGAAATTCGCTTAGTCTGCAGGTTTGCTGCGGCGGGGGTATTTTATATTTGTTGGCCTATCATCAGATTAAACAATTAACTTTTTAATTTATACGAGCTGTTGGCCCGTCCTACGTACGGGAATCGAGTAGTAAATTAAAACTGAATATGATTCAGAACAGCGGTAGTTTACAACTTGGTGGCCGATTCACACACACTGGCTTTGAGTACAGTAGCTACATACCACCTTCCACTGCATAGGCCTACTATCACTTATCGTACCTTATTTTACCACCTTGGCCACTGAAACCTCTAAAATGATCCTGGCCTCCCGTTCTCTTCTATCCCCTGTCATTTCTGGATGACAGGAAGACAGGAAGATACCAGTCTGAAGATGTCTTTCATTACATGGTCTTCCAAGTGTTCGTCTACCTTGTAGTACTCCTTGGAATACACTTTTAAAAGTTGAAGTATCTTCTCTCCGCCATGCAAA